ATTGTATTTGATCACAAATGTCTTAGAAATATTGATCGCATCTGCTGGGATCACCGAGTGATACCTAAAAGTGAGGTTAGACGTAGGATATTTGGGAATGACAGCAAGTCAGTTGTGAATCTCCATCGACTGAGATGATTGGGCCACGTATTACACATGTCCAACCACCGCTTACCACGACGCACAATGTTGACTAGTGTTGGAGATGGATGGAAGAAAGTTAGGGCGGTCAAACCAAAACGTGGCATCAGTCCACAAAGTAATTAACCTCTGGCCTGAGTTATGTTGGTTGATTCAGACTAATGGGTTGGGGTCCTCATGGCTATCGCAAGGAGTGGTTGGAGACTGTATGAAATTACTCAGGATCAATCACAATGGTGTAGGTGTATGCACTCTGTCTTCCCTTAAACTGTGAGATTAAAATTACTACGTATCTTTCTTTCTACGAAATAATTATTTCTTCCTGTACTATATTCTTATATGCAATCTTTCTTTTATATATTACCTCTACAGAATTAACTACTTCTATGAATTCGGTTTTCATCATGTAGGCAATTTATTATTTCTTTATTTATTTCAACACATAGATATTGGTACAAAGAGGCACCAAATACATATGCGCCACACAAATCTCATTCGATATATGTGAGGGCTGTGATACTGCCTGGTTGCCCAAACCGAAACAGGTGGTTTTCTTAGGGGGCCACACCCGGAGCCTTCGACCTGAAGGTCTGATCCACAAGGCAGTAGAGTATCGTAAGGAGATGCAGTCCCACGGAAGCCTGTGACCAACAAGTGGTTCATACGCCATTTGTTCCCGCAAGATACTGGAGCCCATGTGCTCCATTTGTTTGGAATCCGGTTAAAGCGCCGGACATTCGCTTTTCGTCCTCTCATTTTCGTAAACAACACCCCCGCCACGAGAAGGCAGTGAGTAGGACTTCCCTGGCAGAGGCTATATACGCTTGGCCATGTGAGAGCAATTCGAGAGGGAGAGCGGACTCTCCCCACTCTCGGCCGTACCAGGGCATTTGGGGGCAAAAGTGTTTTGAAGTGTGAAACCAATACATTATAAAATTCCCATAAAAAGGTCGTGCGCGACCGGTCTCAAGCAATTGTCCCTTGGGCATTGCGCTCATACTCCCAGGTCACTAAGACTACTAATCCCGCTTCTTTATCAGATCCCTCAAGAAAAAGTATTCTTCGACGGTGTGGACAGTAGGAGGCAATTCATACTTTGATAAGTAATATGAATACTAGTGCACTCGGTCGTATTGAGTTGTATTTGTCAAATATTGAACTTCTCTATACACGACAATATTTATCACCATTATTTATGTCATTCTAATGGTTTTTACAAGTGTTCCTTCAAAGTTTGTAAATGTTTTATAGATAGATATTAACTAGATAGCTGGAACCTTAAATTTAAGGGGTTGTTGGTATCAATTACTTACAACTGAAATCATAATCGACTTATCTGATTTTTAATTCATTAGATTATACAAAATTTATTTTTATGATTTAATTATATTTTAAACTACAAATATAATTAAATCATGATGAGGATGGCAAATCAATTGATGAAGTAGTGAAACATCATCAGTTGAGATTGCTGGGATCTGTTACGTATGCCCAACCACCAACGTGCAATGTTTTATGGTGTAGAAGTAAGTTGGAAGAATGTTAAGGACGGCCAGACCCAAACATGGCACAAGTCCATGAAGTCACTGACAAGTGGGTTGAGCCACATTGATAGGTGTAGACTACCTGGTTCTGGAGGTCCGCGAGACGATGGCAACCGTTGGTTAGAGACCTTGAATGACATAGCTCAAAATCGTTTGCAACAGTGTGCGCAGGTGCATCCACTCTTCGTGTTCTCCCAAATTCTTGTTGGGATATTCAGGAAAATATCCCAGAAATTATCCTATTAAGCCTAATGCTATTCTTGGACTTGGACATGGTATTATTTTCTTATTGGTCAGTACTTATTCCACGTGTCATTTTCCTACTGGCCAATATTGTACAATGTTATTTTCTATTTTATGGTATGATGTGGTTTGTTTGATTGGTATATAACCAGAGTATGTTTGAAATAAAATGATTCATACATCCGAGGCTGTGACTTGCGTTCTGGACTCAACTACTGGGCTAGATAGGGAGGCGGGACCAATCAGAACCCTAGGTCGTTCTACATGTTTACGCGTCTTTGGTCCGATCGATAATTCGCTACCCTTTAATCTGCTGCTACTGTCTCACAGTTATAACAATTCTAATCTGAATTCTTCATGTAACTTTACTTGTTCTCTTTCCAAATTTATTTTACTGGATTATACTCTTTCAATAACATCTTCGAGCCCTAATGTTTCCGATTACTACTTATACTTCTACTACCTCTACCACTACGGGATTCGAATGGACAACTGCATCTCTGTGCTAATGTGGTATGGCAACTCGAACTGATGTACGTACGTACGAAGTTCTACGTTGTTGTTGCTGACCGACTGACTAGATTTTAAACTTATATATTGTCTACTTATAAGTAACTTAAAGTTATTTCTTAAGTAATTGAAAATTTTCTAATGTTGGTTTTTTTGTATCCGTAATATGGAACTAGAATACCTAGACTTACAATTATTCATATGTATTATGTGTGTATGTGTTGTGAGAAGTCTATTCTTCAGAAAAATTGTTTATTCAATATAAGTTCTACTCACATACATCAATCATAAGATTCCCAGTTAGAAGAATGATGCAATAACTTGAAATCAACAATTGTTTAATAGATTTTCTAAAGATTTTGTCAATTATTCTATGGTAATTTATCAGATATGGGAGTTTATCGTCAAAGTTGGTATGTGCATTGAAGATGGTAATAAATGATGTAAAACATTGATACTGTAATCTTGAACTTATACGATTCATATCGAAACCTCCCTAAGTGAAATTGACGGACCGATTTTTTCACATATCACTCCGAATCTCTTTAGCATAAGAGATGGCTTTTCTGGGAAACTCGGCTTTATTGATAAGACATAATCAGATAAATTAGCACTGAAGATTCTTGGCGAAGTATGACAATTTAAATATTATCAATGTAGGGTTGTGGAGATCATTAAGTTTTTGATTGAGATCATGAACCGATCGAAGTTAGACCACAATTGAAAACCTGGAAGCACTAAACGGCCGTTTCATCCCATTGTGGCACTCCTCAGCAGTGCGCATCCGCGGTAAGCTGTGACCAGTGGAGCCAATCCGCATCGGGTAGAGGTAGTGATATGTCTTGTCGATTGAACGCTATATTTGTTTCCTAAGCTATTCCGATGACCCGCACGCTAGAACTACACAGCGACTTGAACACCAGAGAGAAGACGCAAGTATGAGAGAAATACTTTACTCCAGGGTTCATTTCAATACAGAAAAGACAGGGTTTTTATAATATGCTTAAACGTCCTTGGGTTGCTAGAAGACTCTGGAACGCTACTAAACATAGTAGCAGTGTAGCAACCAACCAATCAGAACGATTACATGTGACGTTTCGCCTCTTTGACATTTCTGGCCAAAACTTCAGATGAACGCTGATTGGAGGAAACGCTTCTTAGTGTTACCTGACCCTTTGCGAGAAATTTACTGGGTCATCCCAACACCTCCCCCCTTTCAAAAAATAAGACCTCTTCTCCGGGTCTACTTGCAGCTTGATACTGGTTTCGATATCTTGATCCGTCGTAGGCCAGTATGCGTAGCTTCGAGCCAACGCTTTATCTTATTGATGCCAGGATGACCGCTGTGGAATTGTCTCACAACCTTGTAGCGTAATGCTTTTGGTACAATAATTCTGTCGCCAAACATAATACATGAATCGACCATCATGAGCGAGTCCCGTCGGCAGCATTTCTCCTTGAAAACGACGGTTCGGCCACTTGCCGAGAAGATAACCACTAACTTCTTATAAAGTCTTGTCATTTTAGAGGCTTCTTTGATGGCCTTGAGAGTAACTGGTAAACTATCGACTGAATCTTTCAATACTCGGTGTACTTTTGTTCCCGTCTCGATTGCTGCCACCAAGGTCATCCCAAAAGGTAGAGACAGGTATCTACCTTAATACAATGGAAGATCTTCGCGCAATTTTGTGGATTGTTTGGGGATAGATGTTAACACCTTTGGATGCCGGCTCACTGGTCTAGAGGTTAAGCGTTCGCGCGCGAGACTCAAGGCCGTAGGTTGGAATCTCGCGAGGTGAGATCGTGGACACGCACTGCTAAAGAGTCTCACAACAAGACGAAACGGCCGTTCAGTGCTTCCAGATTTTCAACGATGATCCAACATCAGTCGGTTCATGATCCCAAACAAAATAATAAATTAATTTTCTATGATACCAATTGAAGTATTCATAGAAACCACAGAGAACTCTCAGTTGGTTCATCCTATTGTGGGACATGATAACAGTCCACACGAATGACCTAACTAAACACGATCCATGAATTTAAATCAAATTATTTTCGCTACATAAAATCACCAATATCTTACTAACTAGTTATTCTATTTTGTAACAACTGAAAAAGCTTGTGACTTAAGGCAATATCGTGGCAGTCCGCACATATGCGAACAACAGACTGATTAATTAGAGTTTCTAAACAACAATGGGAAGATACAAGCAAACAGTACTAAGTGAATTAAACTTCAACCCATTGCACAAGCAGGTGACTATCAGGACTCAGTAGCTAAGTGGATAACGCGATGGCATTTGAAGAGTGTGGTACTTGGTTCGAGTTCCAGGGTGAATGTCAACTCTGGGATGCAGGTAAATCCGGCTGATGAGTCCCAAATAAGACGAAACATGCGTCTAAGATGCCACTGCTAGCCACTAGCCATCTTTGCTTAAAATATCCACTGTAGACTTTATAATGTAATCATCGCTCTATTGGCTACATACCAGCTCGAAAGATAAATCACAGATCCACAGATCCTACATCAGTAACTCAGTAATAATAAGAGTAAACATTACAAAATAAAATTTCATTATTATTATTGTAATTAATAATAAACAAATTTGTTTAAGAGACGCGCATATTTGTTCTTTGATAATCCATGAAAAAAGGGATGTAGACCAATATTTATGTATAAATTAATAATAATAAAAAAAACAACCACAGCAACAACAACAGTGAAATACAAGAATGTTTAGTTTTATCAATTGGGATGTAATTGTTTTGTTTGCGTGCGTGTGTATGTGTAATGAATAACTTTCATCAATTCACATTCAATTACATAAAAATTAAACAAATACACATTGTATGCATATATATATGTAGGATAAGAGGACTTACTTACTTTACTTACGCCTGTTACTCCTCGTGGAGGAGTATAGTCCGAGGATAAGGGGAATTAGGTAATTGATTATAAATTGAAGGCAACTATTGAATGAAATACAATATAATGTATACAATAATAAATTAAATTGAGAAAAAAAGAACGATCAAATTATATCAATAAATCAAATGAAAAGATTTAATGAAGAGAAGAAAAAAAGAGACAGTAATTGAATAAAACACAAATTACAAATAATAATAATAATTGCAGTATTTGTTTAAATAAAGCAATTGTATTTGATATTTTATAGAAGGTGCACCGGATTCAATGTTACATAATCAAAGAAACTCATAGAGGAGATGATACACGCATAGCGACGATGCAATTTTATCAATGAAGAATTAAATTGGGGGCGGGGTGGGGTTCAAGGGAATGCATAATACTTTAGTAGATAAATTTACAAGAATAATAATAAGCAATTTGTTTAATATGAATAAACAACATAAGATGATCCAGTGACATCCGTTTAACCGAAAATAACAATCATAATAATGAAATAAAACCCAATTAAAAACAATAAGAAAAAAACATTGAGAGATCAAAAATACAGAAGAAGAAGTTAGACAATTTCTTTTTGTTATTGTTGAATTCATTAAAAGTAGGAATGTTAATATTGTTATAACAATAATTGAGATAATTATGTTATGTAATAAATAGATAGGATATTTATAATGAAGTCCACCTATAGCTTTTCTATAGTTACTAACAGTCCCAAGCCTGGATAAAAGAGGAGAGTTGGGCATGGGGTTAGTGATCTTATCCTGTAGAAAACTAACTCGGTAAAATAAAACACTAACAAGAAATATTCATCATCATGATTAAAATTAAAGATAGAAGTGAATGGTGGATAGATTCAATAATAGGAGGATTAAGAAAGTGTATATATCACACCTATTGCATATACATTTGTGTACATCATAATGATACACTTTGTTTAAAATAATGATGGTTATGTAATTGAATATCTGAATAAATTCATACATTCATTCAATTGTATATTTGATAGACATGCAAAGAAACAAACAAACCATTAACTTATATATAAATGACAAAGAAAAGGCCCGAAAAAAAAACATCCTGTAATGATCAATAATAATCAGTATTCATACTATTTAATTAAAGTAAACAGTTATATTGTCCTATTTTACTTTTGAGCTTTATTATTATTAACAAGATCACCGAAAAAAGGAATGAACTTTGATGATGTTGAATAAAAAAAGAGAACAGAACAATAACATCATCATCACCACCACCACCAACCAACCAATAACAACATCAACACCGAAAAAAAGAACAACATATATGACCAATAACTAGTTGCTTAATATTGAAACAAAGTAAAAATGTTTTATTTAGAAAGTATGTCAAAATATAATGAATAAAACAAAAAGAAAAAAATTGAAAGGAAGACCGTAAAATGAAATTTATCATTTTTCTTTTTGTTTTTTTTGTTTTAAATATCAAAATAAACAATGACCGGATCATTTTGATCATTAGTAACCACCTTTTTATTACTTAATGAATCCATATTAATACATTACATAATGAATACGACTACTACTACTACTAATAATAATAATAATTCAAATATGATTTATACAAAAAAAGAAAAGTTATACCCACACACACATGTGCACGTGCGCACGCACACACGCACATAGAGAGAAAGAATGAATAAAAGTGAGAATTAGGCACAATAGTGTGAATTACATATTCATCTAATATATTCTAAATATCTAAATGAAATAATTCGATTGAATAATTGATAGAAAATATCAAAAATATATTGTAGATTTTATAATAAATATTCAGACAACAACAACAATAACAACCATAACTATTGTTATTGTAGGCATTGATTTCGGAATTAATCTTCACGGTATCTCTACTCTACTGTTCCTACTTATACCTCCTTTACCTTCTTCTCTCTATCTCTCTGATATCTGTATAAAAAACATCACCTATTTACTTATGATTTAATAAAAATACATTTAGAAAAATATAAGGAAATAAATAAAATGAAAATGGAAGGCTAATAATACAACAGCACAACCAAATTAGAGATGAAGAAATTGAAAGAATAATATTACCCGGTAACTAATTGTACGTAGGGAGTAGCTGTTAGTTGTTGTTGTTGGTGATGATGATTTGTTTATTTTCTCACATTCACATACATAAAGACAAGTAGACAAATTGAATCAAGTATTATAATTTAAAAAAAAAAAGAAATCCATTTACATAGTAACCACAAAATGTGTGCCTATGGATTATTGGAAAATATTGATATACACGATGCATTAGATAGATTACATGAACCATTGATACTATTTACTCCATTAGTCATTGTAATTATTGGTGATGATGATGATGACAATGATGGGATTGTTGTGATATGATTAACAAGCGGATAAATTTGAGGATAGTTCACAACATCAGATTGATCTAATAATGTAAATGAATCATCCAAAGATGTTTGTAGCATACAATCATATTCTCCATTGACATCATCACCGATACCGCTTAAGCTCATACCATTAGGTGATAAATTTATCGGTGGAAGTTGATTAGAATCTGTTGTTGATGAACAACAATCATCATTTGTAATATTCATTTGATAAATATTATAATTGGGTGTACATGGTTGTTTTACACCATTTAATGAATGAGATGAACATGATGATGTTGATGTTGAATTAGCTGGTCGTTTACGAGTTTTTCTTGTACCTGATCGACTAGATGAAATAGCAGCAACTGGTGATGGTGTATTATTACAATCAGAATTTCCATCTATACATGAATTTCCATTGGAATTAGGTATACGACCGAAACGTCGTTCATCTTTACATTTCTGTGCCATACGAGCACGTACAGCTGCGGCTGGTTTATTGAATCGTCGACGGATTGTAGCTGAATAAAGTTTAAAAATATATAAAGTAATTGTTTTAAATAATAGTCATTTTAGTTATTTAAATAAAATACAGATATATGAACGTAAAATAGTCTTCTCGATTCCCATCAGGTTCCAAAAATAGATACTACAATCATTGTGGGTATCATCAAGAAATTATTAATAAAATGCACTATGTATAATAAAATTCAACGGTGAAATTTATACACTAACAGTTGGTGTCACCATAGGTTCGCCACTACATCCCATATTGACTGACTTTTTCCTCACTACAGTAGAAAACGGTTTGCTGGCACGGTATACTGATAGGTTTCCATTTTACTGCAACTTCACCTGTACTCCTTCTAGGTTTATTGCAGTTCCCGATTCCAGATAAAGGAGAGTTGAGCATAGTGTCAGCAAGCCCATCGCCTAGAAAACTATCTTGCTAAAAAACGCTAACCGGAATAAACAATTTAGACCATTTAAACTCTGCCATACAAGTTGAAGGATCATCATTCACAAGAATTGTGGGTATGGATATATCATGGAATGACGTCGAATAATTGGGGAAAAAACTAAAATGGTGAGAGCTTTTCAAATTTATATCCCTTCAACATGGTTATGGGTGGCACTATATTCCCTTACAAACACGCACAAAGTTAAATGGGCTTTACCGAACGACACTACAGAGAATCATATCGATCATATATACAGATGAAACTGAAGCAAAAGAAGCACTGAACAACCGTAAAAACAGCATCTCATATGTTCAATACAGTTTTCTTTTGAGATACTGACAAACTCAAAGAATTAAAGATAGGTCTTAGCAACAGATTCCAAGCCTCACAAGTTATACTCTAGAAAGAGGAAACTAGTGTGCGGAACAATTGAGAACGGATTAAGGAAGCAATAACTGCAACATGCCACAACGTAATGAACCGAAACAAGCACCAATATATCAGGTAAAACTCAATAGACATATTAGGAAAGACGCAACAACGAATAAATAAAAAGACAGTGACTAACAACAGTTGAACAAGAGCAGAGAAGTCAAGGAACAGGCAGAATACATAGAAGCAAATAAGTGAGCGACGAAAAGCATTAGACCTGACAAGCAGAAATGCGTGGAAGACCTTGCAGCGACAGCGGAAAGATCTTTAAGAGAAGGAAACATGAGACAGCTATATAATACACCGAAGCAACTGAATGGAAAATATAGTAGACCAGAAAAAATAGTTAAATAAAAATAAGGCAAGCCAATCACTGAAACTCAAGAGCAGTGAAATAGGTAGGTAGAGCACTTTGAAGAACTCTTGGATAAATCCGTCCCATTGAAACCACCGGACACCGAAGCAGCACACACAAACGTTCCTATACATTTCACTCCATCAATGGTCGAAGTAATGAGGATGGTCAAGTCAGGAGTGGGAAAGCATTGCTTTCCTTTGTACTATTTAAACTTGTGTTAATTTAATTCGGTTGTTTATTTACTCTGAAAAAGCGGCTTATATTAAGTTACAAAACGTCAGAAATGTAAATTTTTATTAACATTCTACCCGATTCTCAATGCATTTGAAACTATCAAGTCCAACCTTGGCATTGATACTAATATTACACAAACGCTTTGACATTTTAGGAAATAATAAATATGGGAATTTGCACGAATAAAAATAAAAATTAACTCAATGTTCTTTAAAAAGATATTTATTCTCACTTTATCGATAAATTGAATTTCTTCATATCACTCATCAGTTTAGATTAGCATGCATGTTGTTACTTACTGGTTACTTCCATCGTGGAAAGATATATATTATCGAGAGACCTGAACAAGAAACTGATTTAATAGTGATCTTGTCTAGTTGGGAAAGATAACACATAACTTAAGGAACAGCTGTTGGGTGCCGATTACGAACAACTTTTTGTTAGTATTTTGGTTTTACAACCATACTAATCAAAGTCGAGTCCTAGCGACAAAAGGGTGATGTGCTATTCCTTGCGTCAACATTTTCTACACTTGTTATTTGAGGTAGCTGTATTGAATATCTATGGCATTTTGTTCAGTATAGCTTTTTAAACATCAACTCATTCGTCAGGTGCTTGGGTGTAAGCTAAACTCGAAATGTGAGGGTTCATGATACTACCCATTTGCCCAAACGGAAGTGTAAATGAAGCAAGGTTCAAAATTGGGACTTAGTGGCTGAAGGTCAAACACCTTAACCACTAGCGCACCGCTCCAATTATTGCAACTATTGACTTGATTATTTTATGATATTAAATCGATTCATTATACACGTCAAAGATGATTAGAGCAACATGTTTTATTTCTTTTATTTTTACAATAGTTCAGGCACTAAGTTCATAAGCACATACATGTAAACGATTATTAATTCTAGTATTTTATCTGATTACATTTCAATCACTGATGTCAACCAGTACTGAGAATGTATCATCAATTTAAGCAAGTTGTATTCACATGGTAACAGAGTTATTTACTTTCTGTCTTTTCTTACAGTAAACTTATCCATTGTATACATTACACACATCCTGTTACACAAACATTATAATGTATATACACGTAGAACATCAAACAAACATGCTGGTCAATCCTATAAAGTGAACCACTTACGACACAACAATGTTATGCATGTAAACATTAAGGTCATATTAATGTGTATCTTAGATGAACACTTAGTCAGAGGTTAAGGTTATTTGTTCTTCGCTAGCACCAGCATCATTTTTCTTTATTTAGATATTCACATGTACATTAATATGTGTGGTCATTGTCTACAAAACTTTATATATCACATATACACAAAACCAACAACAACACGAAACACCATTCACTAGATTATTCATGAATTTCCACAACGAATGAAAGAAACGTGTGTATACGGGACGAAGTTAAAAAGCATGAAGTTTAAAATCGATTTAATGAGAATTCACATACACACTCAGACAATAATACAATAAATAAAGGTCAGAATTAGTTATCAACACTATAGACTTCTGTATTTGTTTGGGGTTAATAAGAGAATGGATGATGGTAAAAAGAAGTGTCAACAATAAGTTGAAAAACAAATTGTATTTGTAGTGTGCATGGACTATATGTATATACCATTCAATATTAACTAATCATATGGATATAATTTTGATTCGGTTTTCTTTCTCATAAATTTGAGGAATTATTTTCTTAAAAACAAGCAAATAAACACGATATACCATATTAGTATAATTAGATCGCAACAAAATGAAAATGTATGTACTCTTGTTGATGCAGGTACATGCAGCTGATAAGTCCCAAATAGAATGAAACATATGTCCTGGATCCAACTGCTGGCTAAAATCTGTCTTTTTTAAATGTCTTTATTGGAGTTCATCAAAAACACTAAATAAGGTAATTTAGTAGATGAATTCATGAGTGAATTGAAGCTAGATCACCATGGAAAACCTGGAAGCACTAGAATTCATCTACTAAATTACTATAATATCCACAAAACTCTGACTAAATAAGGTGCTGATCATTCTTGTGAAGTTGATTTGCCTATTGAATTATTAAATCATCAGTATATAAACAATAATGTGAAGTCTAGTGTTCCAGTTGATGTGCAGAAGTAATCGCGGTTATAGGAACCAAATAGGAAGACAATACAGGGGCACCGGTAGCATGACTTATCAATAACTGTTTAATTCACTTATTTATGTCATACATTAATCATGAATCTAAGACGCACGTTTTGTCCTATTTAGGACTTATCAGCTGGATATACCTGCATCTCAGAGTGGATGGTCGCCCTGGAACCGGAAGCCAGTACCAATCGCTTCAAACGCTATCGTGTTATCCACTTAGCTACTGAGTCCCAGAGTGAACATCAACTCTGAGATGCATGTACATCCAGTCTACGAGTCCCAAAGAAGATGAATTCCACTGCTAGTCACTATTCATTTTTGCTTATAACACTTGTGAATGAAGGCAATACGCACAGTATGCATATATGCCAATAACATCAATAGATGATTCAAGTAAACAATACCAAGTGAATTTATATCATCTAAGCTTTGAAGTGTTTCAACTAGGAATGATGCATTTGTTAATATGGCTTATTTCTATACAATAATTTCATAAAATATGGTGTCTTACTTTATTTGAAGATTCATTTAATATGTTTCTATGCTCGATAACATTATGTGTACAATCGAAGGTGATGATTAGAAAAAGTAACACAAATTTCAATAATATAAATCGATCAGGGCTTAAAGTCTCATCGATATATATATACCAGCCACCTTTTTATATAAATTATCTCGTAAGTTACAGACTTTTAGTGATACAAAGTGAATTGCGTAATAAAAATTCAAATATGTGCGAATATAAGTGGATGTTTAAGTTAATTTTGGCTGACTTTCATTTCTATGCAAACAATATAAAGAAACTTTTTAACAAACATAAATATGAGATGACTGTTGTTGAGCCTACAATAAGAGCATTGAAATAATGAAATAACAATGTAACATGATCCTTTTATTATATTTCGACTTTGATTGAAAGATAGATATATAGAGTGTATGAGAGAAAAAAAAAGGACAACAATAAGAAAAAAAAAAGATTGTGTCTTTTAAAAACACAAAAAAAATTGCAACAAAATTTAGTTATAACTACAATTAATTGAATAACTGAACACAATTATCACTATCACTTCAACATTGAGGGGGGGCACATTAAAGGATTCATCATTATACTAGACAATATGATCAATAAATTCGTCAATGGTTGTTTCTTCATTGAAATGATGAAAACAAACAAGCGCAAAATTCAACACACATACACATAAACAACACATTCATTTTTTTTTCTTCAATTAATCAAAGTTGAGAATATAGGATGAGAGAGATAGAGAATCTCTCTAGTGGATGAAGAAAAAAAAACATTATTGTAGAGTATTCTATAAACAACATTCCATTGAATCAATCGTGTACTTAATTCATCACAAACACATGTATATATATATATATTAATGAG